TGCGCGGCAACTTGAACAGACAAAGAGAGCGCGGCATCGGTCGGCAGATGAGCCAAAGGACGGCCTCTGATGTGTAACCAGTCGCCATGTGCCCCAGTGACGTCAGACAATTTAAGTAAACGAACGCCGAAAGGCTAAAATCGGCGCATCACGAGACGAGACGGATTCTGGCGTCCGGAGTAAAGACGGACAGAGAAACTGCGCTCCTGACGATGGAAGCAAGATGGGACAGTCGGTAATTCTCGATCCTGATCAAGAATAAAATGTCTACAGACACAAACAAAAGATTAATACAAAAACAAGAAAATGCATCTACTCTGCTCAATGTCAGGTCTCGCGTACTTGCCCCAATCTCATTTTTTTATTTTCCGAGTGTAACAACAATTCGTCACAAAAAATCCACCAAGAGCCACGTCACCTCCCTAAAAAAAACCTGTTATTTATCTCGGCGCGTGAGAGAGAGAGTGGGGAGGGGGGGAGGGCACTGACGCAACATTCTGGGCGGACTGGCCCGGCGTCTACTATTGGCTGACGGCGCGATCATACGATGACGTAGCCGTGTCAGCTCACCTCAGGTGGAAAACGTATTACTCAAGAATGTTGACTGACGTCGGACGATGATGGCTTGCCACGCACGAGACCAGGCTCTGGTAGTCGCAATTCAAAATTTACCAAAAGCTAGGGCGAATAGGGGAGCACTGAGACTCCAGACACGGTGACTTCACGAGGTTTTCAAATTCTTGAGTCTTCGGTTGTTTCTAAAAGAGCGCTTTCGGTGTCTCTGGGCTGAAGGCGGGTGGGATGCCCCCCCCCCCCATAGACACATCACCTCTGCCTTTCAGCCTTTAGGATTCCCGGCTAAAATTGCGCATTTACGTCTGTGTTTATCCAGTGCTCAAATGTAGCTATAAATTGATACAGAAATGGCGTCACTGAACTGCATAATCATTAGATCACAGTTCTTTATACCCCCCGCAATAAAAAAAATGAATTTATCTCGAGGAAGAAAGGCATCACTGCGTTTTCCGCATAAGTTGTCAACTTTAGAATCTGATTTACTTTTCCGTGTGTTCAGCCACGAACAAACAGGAAATCGTTCGCATGAGGCGACTCTCACTTTCGTCAACCCTGTCCGTCCGTCCTCCGTATCATTACGGACATGCAATGTTGATTCTGGAGAGCTTACGTAAAACAATATATTCTAAGCGTTCCTTACTTCGCTGTGAGCAAGGTCATCAGTCATCATCCGATCTTCAGAAAAATACGGCCCCAAGCACAGATCACGTAAACCGGTGTTTATCGTCTGGATGTTTCTAAACGATAAGGAATGCATTCACTGTCAAAACGGAACACACTGAAAGAAGGCCGGGGAAGGAAAATGGGAGTGTCCTGATACATTTGACGAGACCCCGGCCAAGAGAAAACGCACCTAACAAAACCCATGAAACAGCGATGTACAAATGCAATGGCCACGTGTAGAGGATGTAAACAAAAGAATATCAAGTGAAAAGCAATACCTAATTATGCCAACTTCAGTCCCTGCCCCACACAACTGCATGCACGTTATGTTTCAGGAGCTGAAAGAAATGTCAGTAACCTGAACCGGCCGACTTATACAAAACAAGCGTTTCGTCGTCTTACAGTAACACTAGTCATTTTATCAGCCATGCATTCAACTCTGTTTACAGTGCAATAAAAGAAGGAAACTGCTATAAACAGACGTAAGCGACTCCACCCTCCATCAGGTGTTTTGCACTAAAAGAATACAGTAAACAACTATCAAGACTCCCATAAAGATTGTAGTTTTAAAAAAGTTGTAAAAGTGAAATCACAGATTGCGTCTTTAAAGGCATTTTGTTTCATGTGCCGCTCTTGACTAACGAAACCATTGTGGGGGTCCAGTCTGAAGCCTGAACACCGGCCTCAGGTTATCCGAAACACACACAATCACCAAACAGAAGGTTGGTTTCAACAAAAGCAATCTCACGCAACGACTGGCCACCCCTTGCCTAAAAGCATATATCCCTCTATTGTTGAAAACTGAGCTAGGCTGCTGCCTATTTGAACAGCTGCCAACATTAATCTCGATTACTGTTGCTTACTGCTCCCTTCTCACATGACCATTCAAATAAATAAATAAATAGCTGGGCACGCATTGCGTGAGTCATTACGAAAAACAACCAAGACGCATAAGAAACCTGAGGCTCTTCGGCTATTGTCGTCATTAGGTAAGTAAGCGTGCATACGCCTTAGTTGCGCGTATAGAGACAAACAATACCAGGAAAACAATCATTTTGTCATTGTATTGTAATCATGACTGTTCACAACAACTTGTGGCACAGAACATCGTGAAAAGAATGCTTTAAAATGGCTACAATGGCGTCGTCAGCATTTTTCCTTGCGAAGGGGGAGGGGTGTCACTAACTAAACCTTGGCCCCATAACCTGCAACCATGAATGGCTCTACAACGCCTAACACAATGCGAAAATTTCAGAAAAGATTTGAATTCTTCGGTGCCCTAGTGCCGGAAGTTCGAAAAAAATCTCTTAAAATAAGAAATAGTGTGACACTTGTAAAATTGAAAAAAATAATGAAAAGTTTCTATCAACGTAGTTATTAACATCTTGACTGAAGCATGAACAGTAAAACAATTTATAGGGCATTGACTTTCCGTCTACCAACTGCATCCCAGTTACAATTACCAATTTTTAATAAGAATTTACTGCAAAATGCTTTCAAAGGCAAATATCACATTTGTGTTCAACTTTAAAGCAAATACTGAAAGTTTGCACTTTGAGAGAAACGTTTAAGTAAACATACTGAGACTTTAAACTGCCATACACCACATTCTCAAAGTTCGGGCCTCACAATATAAGAAGCCTAAAAATGTGTTATTAATTTTAATGTGTATCTTTGTATACCAATCCTATTGTAATGCTTTCATCGACATGTTTCACGTTTATTTTTTGGTGTTCCCGTCACTCAGAATATTATTGTACATTTCAAATTCCCAATTTAGGAGCCTCCTAACAAAAATAACTTGGGGCATCAGAAAGTCCCGCCCTGCGCATTTTGCAGATTTTGGCGCTTGAAATAACCGCCAAAAAAAACCCACAATCAGAGAGATGGTGTCCAATTTCATAGTCTTTTTATAAAATCGCACTGTCAATGTCACGGGAACAACTTGTTAGCTCAATTCCATCAAAACGGGAATATTTCAGAACCTTAAGAAAGAAAGACTTACACTTCGAGCTTCGTTTGTCGGGCACCGAACTCGCTGCACGTGATCAATTTACCCATAACCTACATTCAACTACTGAAAATAGAAGTACCCTTACCTGCAATTGTAAATCTGTCCATATAGTTAATTAGGTTCACTAGGAACAATATTATGATGGTCAACCACTCTCTTATGGATATTCCGTAACCACACCTCCCTGTTCTATTACCGGCACCATCTGCTATAGACGTCAAAGACGGCACTGTTTTCAGACTATCACATTCACCATCTGACATTAATTCTTGATGAGAATTATTTGACGGTATATTCGTAGGCTCCATATTCAAAATTGTTAAAGAATGTCTTTTAACAAACTTTTGCGCTGGCATAGATGATAACACGCTCTAACACTGCCACATTCAACACAACCACACACAGTCTAACAACACACTGATACCACGTCCTCCATGACTAGCTGCTGCTCAGTTGGAAACTGTGTACAAGTCCACCAGGTTGCATCACCAATTCTATATCCGGTTCCTGCAACGACCCGACTCATGGCCTTTCACATTGAAACCATAGATAAAGCGAAAGCTTCACTTTTGTACATAGATAACTACTGAAACATCACGGACACAAAATGTCGACCACATTCCTTTAGCATGATAACCATTGTGACTACGTACATGATTCTCACAAATAAATCCAAACACATTAAATTACATTATTATAATTTCATAATAAGTTCATATATTCATAAACTTAACAGTAAAATATAATCTCAACGGCCAGATGGACGACCAGTAATCACGGCTACTAGTACAGCCATTCGGAGACGCAATAGCGATGTTGATGCCACCTAGTATGAACACTCACAATTCCCTCTGTTATAAGTACATGCCGCTATCTCGTGGTGACTTCACAAAACATTTATACACATCTATACAATTAAGTTTAAAGTATTTCAGTTTAAATTCGTACATGGAATTGTCAAATATCCCTCAGTTCGTGTCACACATATTTAATAATACGAATTAAACAATTAAGCACAGGTCTTTCGTATTGAGAAGCTGAAATTCCCCGTCAATTGTGTAACCTAAGGTTACTAAGGACCCTGCCCCGAATGTGTTCGAAGCGGTGCCTTCCATTCAGGGGTTGTTAATATAAATGTGTACGCACGGCCTTCCATTCAGGGGTTGTTAATATAACTGTGAACGCACTTCTCATTCGTTCTGCATGCCTCGCCCATCTCGGTTATTTTCCTCACAGTGTACAGACTGAAAGCTGTCGAATGAGAAAATTATTAATAAATAACGCGTTTTAAGAGCACTGAGGATAACCACGGAAACCACCAGTCATTGTAGTCTGTCTCAGATACAGATGTGGCGTTCTTTACGGAACGGAAGAGTTCCTCAGTGAGGACGACAATCCTAAATAGGAAGCAGGACTTTCAAGGACGCGGACTGCGGTTATCCGGAGACGCAGATGCGTCACGTGACATCTGGACCATCCATGAATAATTAATGCGTGTAGTATTACCAACCCCTCGTCACACGAAACACGCGAAATTGTTTGTGGGCCACGTAAGAAGACTCGAATGCAATGATGACGAAGCTGGTCGCGTAGCACGCACGATATCCAAGTGATGAGTGGATTGAAGTGGCTCGGTATGGGGTCCAATTACGTGATGATGACACTTTTAAGTTCAATGAAGGGCTCAAAATTTCTTGTTCAGAAAAAAAAATTGAATATGTCGCAACATGGAATTGGTTCAAATAAGAAAATCATTTTTGAAGGTAGCGTCGTGACGTGACAGGGCGTGTAGCACGCATGAGGGAGATGAAAAACACTCACTTCGACGCACTTTTGGTGGAATCCTCGAAAGGAAAATAGATGCGGTCTCTTGTGGGCGACACGATAATGAATGGGGAAATTTCTTGACCGGCTGTGCGACTACCAGCTAATGTTTTCTGCTCCCAGTTCCCAGGAAGTTCGTCTCTTCTGTTCAGATCTGTTTTGAAGTACGCAACACGCAGGAGGATTAAGGCCGAGGCATGAGACAACGACCAGCTGTGGTAGGATTACAGTCGCTGCTCGGTTATCTTTAATCCCCCGTCCTGGCAGAAATGATTTCCTTTCAGTCGTGGGACGTTCTTCAGAAAGGTGGTCACCCCAGAGGACAGCCATTCCTAACTCTGCTCTACCGCTGGGACAACAGCTACTACGGGTAAGTGGGCCACGGACACAGAAAGGGGAATGTGGAGGCGTCTTTGTAAAACACGCGTAACACAGATTCCCCCGCGGAAGAATAAGGAAAAATAAATAAATAAAGATCGAAGCTGAAGTTTCATCATCATATATTACAAAAAAATTAACTCTTAGAATGTGAAAAGATGGGCGATACTCCGTCTTAAAAAACGCGAACACTAAGATGTGAAGAATTTTCAAAATATGGAACTGAACGTAAATGTGTTACGATGAATATGGACGCATTGCTTGGAAAACGTAATTGTAAAATGCCATTATGAGAAACAAGAGCGGATGCAAGGATCAGGAAGGCGTAGGAAGAGGTTCGTGGATAAAGTTTGGTTTAAACGGTCCTGGGACTGAATGGGGTGTACGATTTTATTATTCGGTTCCGAGCCTTACGATGCGCTTAGCACAGCGGTGTTGTAAAATTACTCGTCCTAGATACATAAAAATGTCCAGTAATTAACGTAGATTTTCTTGGGGTCTCTTAATCAGTCACAAAAAAAAAAGTTGGCACGTGGCGTACCGAAAACTTACAGCTTTGATTTTTGAGTGCGTCATCGATGCAGAGATTCAACGCGAAACGTCGGACCGGAAGACCAGAATGAAAACGTAGTGTGGCGTGAAGATTCATCTTAGGGAGGCAAGATGAAACTTTCGCTTGTTTTCAGCAACAAAATGCACGGAGAACTGCTCAAAAGTCGGGGCCCACCGCTAATCACGGCGGCGGTGGTTCCCACAGACCCCGAAAAGGGTGAAATGGAACCACTTCTGCAGCAAGAGGCTCGCTACTACCAGAACATTCCAGAGGTCGCCATAAACTTCAAGGTCCCGTGTCCAGCGCCTCCTCCACAGTCCGACCCCGAGAGATGGCAGCCGACTCTGACCAAGGACAAGCAGAGGGTTGAAGGGGCGAACTGGTTCGGCATCTTCCTCGCCTTCTTATCCGGGGGCTTCTTCACGCTCAGTTCTGCGGGCGTGAAGGCGCTGAAGAACGTGGACCCCATGGAACTGCTGGTCCTGAGGTCGCTGCTGCAGATAGCTGCAATGCTGCCCATCGCGATCAGCAAGGGGGAGAACATCCTCGGTCCGAAAGGACAACGCGGACTTCTGCAGTTGCAGGTACGTCGCATGCTGCCTGTACCGACCTCTAAAACCTCATCGTTATTCGTCCAGTACCTGTTACGGACGGCTCTTATGTCGAGTCGCCTTTCGTCAAATATATTTTCCTCATACGCACAGGGTATCGTCGGAGGCTCGACCCTGGTGCTTCTTTTCTTCACGTTCCGCCGCCTCCCGCTAGGAGACGCCACTACCATCATCTTCAGCTCCCCAGTCTTCGTCCTGATCATGTCCTTCCTGTTCCTGCGGGAGCCCTGCGGCTTCTTCAGGACTCTGATCGTGTGTCTCCTGCTGACGGGAGTCATCCTCATCTCGAAGCCGCCTTTCATCTTCCAGGTACGTGTGGCACAATCACTCGCGTGACATTTAGTTCAATCTGTGGCTGTCAATATCACGCGTCGTGCGTTGGTTTGCAGACGTTCGCCCAGCACTACGACGTGTTCGGTTACCTGAGCGCCTTCGGAGCGACCTTCTGCATGGCCCTCAACATCGTCGTCATGCGGAAATGCAAAGACGTGCACTTCTCCGTCGTGGTGCTTCACCTGTCCGTGTGGTCCCTCGCCCTGTCCGCCGCTGTCCTGGTCTCCCAGCATCAGCAACACGAGCTCCTGGCGACGATCGCGGCGCCGCGTGGCCTGCAAGAGTGGGGTCTCGCGGTGCTGGTCAGCTTCCTGGGTCTGTCCGGACAGGTGCTCGTGGCCAAGGCCCTCGCTAAAGAGGGGGCCGGCAGAGTGGCTGTGACCCGCTCGCTGGACATCGTCCTGGCCTTCCTCCTGCAAGTGTTCGTATTCGCCGAGGTCCCCGACGTGCTGAGCGTCTCGGGGGCGCTGCTGGTTCTGGTCAGCGTGCTGGCGATGGGCTTGGAGGAGCGTATACTCTACTGGGCCAGCCTTGTGCCTTGACGTCCCGTACGAAAATGGTTTAAAGATTTATCTTCGTCGGATACAATAAAGTCGCATGTACTGGACGCAACACGAATCTTTGATTTAATTCTCAATCAAAACTTCTTCATCTGCGAGGAACTTGGTTATTTATGTACACGCCACGAAATCTAAGAGCCTATGATGAGATCGGCGTGGGTGAAATAATAAATGCATACTGCCGAAACCTATTGGAAAACACCCATTTGGTAGACCAAGAAGGGGACTGAAGATAAACGCAACGTGGATCTTATCGAAAACAGGCTCTCGAGGTGGGAGGTGGATTAAACTGGCTCAATTAGCGGTGTTGAAACTTAGGATACTGCAACCGCGGTGTTAGTTAATAGTCTGAGACGACAAACTAAGCCTCTCCTTTTGTGGTAATTCAACACAAACACGCAGACTTCGCGTGTGACTTCGCCTTCTGTGGCAGCTGCAACCGCATCCAGACCACGGCGTGGCTGCCAAGGGGCAGTCAACGCCTGCTTCATCGTACGAAGTTCAGCCGGTTTAAACCCCTCCCCCAAATTTCACTGATATCGAACTGTGTCGTGTTAGCAGTTTCAGATAGCCTGCGGCCTCTTCCTTCCTGATCCGTACCCATTCATCATAGTCACGCTAAATAAAGTCAGTGTTGCAAAGAAACCCAAAACATTCCTGTGCATTGGCCCTTCGTAGTTTTAAGAAACCGGAGTCAACTATCAGCTTCGTAATGTAATCAAATGAATGGCTTTTTCTTGAGCAAAATACAATTCGATACACAGAATTTCAGTACAATTAATTGGTCTCTTGCCGAACTTGGACGTGACAGGAAGTAATGGCCTTCCGAAAACCACGTACAAGACGGCGCAACAACCTAATGGGCCTGAATTCTTTTTTTTGTTAAGGTAACCTTTTGTGTCATTTGAAATCAACACCGGTACAAACAGAGCCTACATGAACCATTTACAAGCACTAAAAATTACAAACATTTCGACGGTGCAAAAACTTGCATTTTCTTCCTGGCAAATTTGATGTGTTCGGTAACTGTGCCAGTGGAAACCAATGGCTAATTGCTAAGAAACTCTTTCTAACCTACAAAAAGACGTAAGACGAATACCAAGTATAGTTTACACACCTCCTGGAGCCATCTACTGGTGACAATAAGAAGCTATCAGCAAGCCTTACTCAGGGCAATTAAGGACGACAACTTCTCATTGCACAATTATTACGAAGTTAATTTCTAATCAAAATTTCAACTTACAGTGAAGAAAGTGGAGTACTGTAGTCGACACCGTTAACGATGCGAGCTGCAAAGGCAATTTCTAATCAAAATTTCAACTTACAGTTAAGAAAGTGGAGTACTGTAGTGGACACCGTTAACTATGCGAGCTGCAAAGGCTGACGAGTTGCTCCTGAAAAACGTGAAACACGGAAAATAACAAAAATTTTAATGTTTTTCGTCGCATCTCTTGAAAATATAAAGTAGTTTACCCATTAGTCCAAATTCAAACTATTCGTTACTCTCATTAATACAGATATAGAAAGTTTTGAAAACGGGTGTCGAACACAGGCTTGTGACGAATATAAAGTAGTTTACCCATTAGTCCAGATTCAAACTATTCGTTACTCTCATCAATACATATATAGAAAGTTTTGAAAACGGTTGTCGAACACAGGCTTGTGAGTTAAATGTTTAGGGAGGACATATCAGTTTAGGTTAACTCTACTGTGAGAAGGGTCTATGGTCTACCCATGTTCACTAATATTCCTATTTGGTGTATGTACTCTCCCACCCTTCACGTTACACACTAATTTCCTGGCCGTACACACAGACAAACCGTGAATACAACACTTACCAGATCTTCAATATAGTTGTAGTCAGAAAAACATATTACTTCACCATTAAAAGAACCGCCATATAAATACTATTGACACCCAACTGTCGATAGAAACTATCACGACCCACTTTCGATACGTAACTATCGATACAATGTAACACGACCTCGCACGAACATCGATATTTAACAGCTGATAATTTGGCGCGTAGGGTGTATGCACGTAACAGCAAGGTTTGCTCCATCTTCAGCAGAGCTATTAACATTTAAAAATGAAACCCGAATGTTCAAGAGCTTCCAAGGTTTGAAGTTCAAATGCTTTAGCCCGATTGAGTTATATAATAGTATTTCATAATTGGATTCAGTAATAATGTTGTTTTTGTGTCAGTGTGTGTGTGTGGTGTATGGTTATGTTTGGTTTTAGGAAGGAAAAATTAGTAGAGTATCACTGCAAGTTCTTCAACCAGCGGCTGGTGACAAGGAAAATCTTGTTGGTGGAAGCAGGCAGACGGTTACAAATATGAAAGTTGGTGTGAAATTAGGGTAAGGTTTGGTACTTTCATTATTGTTTAATGTAGCTAGTGAAATGTACAGAGGATTATTTGGAAGTATTAACTCACATAACCTCATTCCATAAAAATTATAGCATTGACTGTTGTGTGACCAGTCAAATTAATATGCTAGTTAAGATGGAGCAGTGAGTATCTTAAAGACCAATACTTTTTATTTTCTAATGTTCTAACCATGAATGTGAAACCTTTGAATTGGGGACCATGATGCATATTTCAGTCTCTCCTACTAAAACTTATGCTACATGATGATAAAATGAAATCTTAGCTCATGTAGTTCATCATGATTCAGATAAAACAAATTGTTCCAGGTAAAAGTTTCATTAGGATATATCCAACATCATACAGCACAATGCTGCATGGACAGTACTCAAACTGAACACAGTATCATGCTTTCTGACCTGTAAATCATTATTATTCATTGTTATTATTATGTGTATTTTTATTACAGGGAAAAATGTGGGAAAAGTAAATCGGTCAATGAAAAGAATGTAGAACATACAATGTTGAAGGGGAATTTGAAGAAGAAGAAGGTGAATGTAGCGCACAAATCAGTTCAGACCAATAAAGACGAGGAAAAACCACAGATTAATTCAGCGGACCTTATGTCAGATGGTATGCCCCAAAGGCCTTCAAGTAATAATGTTATTGTGACTGAATATTGATTGGTTTAATTTATTATTTTCACTTGTAATATAATTGTTGCAACTAATTGCATTTATTGGGTGTGGATTGCTGTCTCTAAAATATTCAGGTTAATTTTTTATATTTTTTGTGTGAAGTCGCATTTTCTTGACTTTTGCTGAAGACAGGAAGTACTGAACCTTATTTCTTGATATCTGTGACTGAATAAAATCTTTGCACAGAGAACTGAATAAATCATGAATTCATCAGCATGCAGCATTGGCTTTTCTTGAACTCGGTTATGACAAATGCTGTAACGTGACAATGTTAGCAGCATGCCTTGTGTTGTGTTCTTGTTCGACAGGACCTCCAAGTGAAAATTACTGGCAGTTACTGGCAGAGAAAAGGAGAATTGCACTTGAAGAGAGCTTGCAAGAAAACAAAACTTTGCATCAGAAATTGGAGATCCTTGTGGAGGAGAAACAGCTGACTGAACAGATGTTAGAAGAAAGCAGGAATCTCGTCGATGTGCTGAAAGTAGGCTCTCTCATTTGCCACAACTGACGTACAAATATTTTGTGTTTTGTGCACTTCAATCTTGCGATAAATGCAAGAAAATGGGCCCCAGAGCCGGTCTGGACGCAGAGGCTCACACCCCAGTCGTCCGTCCCATAGTCGGTCATTGTACTGGCTGAGTTACCCAGCCCACCTTGTAACTTTCACCATTAGTAATTTTAATTCAGCTTTATGGGGTTAGTTACTTATATCAGAGGCATAATAAAGGTGAGGTTTAAAAATTCATAAATACAGTCGAGTAATATATTTAAGTGATCATTAAATATTCAAAATATTTGTACCACTGACGAATTTTGTCGCGAGTCATGAATGTTTAATAAAATACCAAATTAACACTTCTGTACCACCGGTCAGCATCGAAATTAAGAAATTTGTTTATTTCTAGCTATGAAATCTCTTTTACTTCCAGGAAATTCTTGCTGCTGGTGAAAACGAAGAATCTCAAATTGACTCTGAAGGCGAATCCTCTTCATAATTAATTGATTGTGCGCAGTGAAGTGATATGGCCATGTTGGACGTGATGTGACGCTTGGTGGTACTTGTTTAAAAAATAAGTTGTTTGCACTGTTCCATATTTATGATTAATTACCTTTTACTGTGACATTAAAAGTTTTCATTGTGACATTTCTGATAAAAAAATTACTTTAGCATTGTTAACAGGTGATAACTGTGTAATTGCACCGATTTTGTAACATATGTAAGGCAAACTCGATAAATAACAACAATTTCAATGTGACCATGATTATGTAATGGAAATGAAATAAAAATCACCAAAGTCTCCACATTCAATAGAGAACTGGAGACTAGAGAACTTAAATTATTATTCAAAATTAAGACTGTTCTCATATTTATTTATATATGTTCTAATTTAGGACTTGTCTGGAATAAGTTCTCTTATATAGTCTCTCATGACGACCCTTTTTTTAATGTAAAACATTTCTTTGTTAAAATATGGCCGTCTTCTGAGTTGTAGCGCCGTGTAGTCTGGTAGAAGTTTATCGGCGTTTCAGAGGTTCTTGTTGGTAACTTCTACCAGACCACACGGCGCTACAACCTGGAAGACGGCCTGTGAGAACCACAAATCCTACTTCTTTGTTACATTAATTTAACCCCTTTGTTAGGAATAACAAAGATTCTTCCTGTAAATTAAATTTCCTTGGACACTGTAGGGGAGTGGCGCAGGACACAGTAAATGATCGTGATTTGATGGTACTGGATGCAGTTAAACAGGTATGTGTAATGGTTACCATGATATATTCTAAGAAACTAAAGTACAACAGGAATTGTATTATAATTACATTGTTACTCCCAATTAATGGACCCGTGGGGGTTTCTGGCTCCCACTCACTCGTCTAGGGTGCATACATCTTCAGCATGTAAGCATGACCATTATGGAAAATGTGTGTTATATGAACAATGTTATATGTTGTTTTAAACGGTTGACATCGTTATATGAACAATGTTATATGTTGTTTCAACCGGTTGACATTACTCATTTGAACATAAAATAGGTATGAGGATTCATTACAAACAGCAGTGAGATTTCTCTGCCTTCATTCCTCTTAAAATTGAGGGAATACAGTATTTAAATCTTACTATGTGGAGGAGCGAGCACTTACATACTCTATGATGTAGACACCCTCTTAACACATCTAAAAATGGACTTGACATACACTTCACGAAAACTTAAATGTATGGAAATAGCCTACTGAAGCTAACGTAAAAGCACTTACTTGTAATATTTTTTATCCCCTCTAAATCGGGTCGGAGTTAAAACGTAATGTGTACCGACTTGCGCCATGCTTTCCGAGCATTAAATATTTACGCCTAAACGGTCGTCATTTTTTTTATTATCGCTTTGTAGCAGTCATTTATTTCAATTAATAGAATCGAGATATCGTCAGTGCAGTGACTTCCGGTGGCAGTTTCAATTACGTGAATTTAGTTTTATGTACTGCTGTTTATAAATTGTTTATTTATTAGTTTAACTGCAGAATGAATAACAATTTTAAAATGAACAAGCTGAAACCACGTTTAGCAGCTGGAAGTAAGTTTCCAACACTCATAATACTGTTACAGTACTCTCCCACTATTTTAAGATGTACATTATACATTTATTACGTAGTAATTTCTCAGTATATGTCGTAGCCTGTATGGAGTAAGTGTATGTTGTGTAAATGCAGAATGAAACAGGAATTTTGTTACGTGTTTGGATAGGTCCTTACCAACGACCAAATCTGGGAGGTGTTGGACAAAATATGTACAATCCGTTCCAAAGCAATTCTACAATGGGAAATGCTATACGGTAAGAACGTTACATTTTTGCAGCTACAGATAATAATAACAATAACTGACGTAACCGGAAATATTTAAATAAAGATGCATAACCTAACAATAATTATTGTCGAATAAAATTCTCGTTTCATAGAATAATGTTTAACAATGTGAAAATACTTTTGAAGTTCATCATTTAAGTTGTGTGAATAAGGAGTTTTATGCAGAACAAATAATGTCTACTGTCATACTGGGTAGATTTTCGGTTCTGGGAATCATGTTATATTTAGGTTATGCAAATTAATAACATACAGCCATGGTTGGTCCCTCTACAGACCGGCTGTTATATTCGAACAATTAATTGTAAAGATGTGTCAGGAAAGGTGACTACAGCACTTAAAACCCATTACGTCCGCAAAACAGTCATATATTCCGGAATAAATGGTGCGGTAGATTTTTTGTGTCTCGTAATGGACAGACTTGCACTACTGATAAGTGATCAAACAGTGCCTCGTTCAATCCTAAGTTTCTCCTCTCTCTTTGTGGTGTCTTTACTCAGCTCTTGTCTGTTTAATCATAATAATGCAAACCTCTTTCAAGGAATTTTATGAACTCCAGCCAATTTTGAACACGCGAACCTGCCAGTGGGGAAAGGCTCGCTGAAGTTTTGTTTAGTCATCGCAGGATATCCGGTCGTCATGGCGAGGGCACGCACAGAAACTTGACGCACCGCCCCAGCTTCGCAACTAAACCAAATGTTTTGCGTTCAGGTTTCCGCCTTCCCAACAAATGATGCCGGCAATGACCCCGTACAGCAGCCGCACTCCTACGTACGGCTTCCCGTATTTCCAGGAAGTACCTTTCTGTTCGGAGCAGTGGAGTCCCACACCTCATGCAATGCAAGATTATGGGCCACCCACAGAAATAATTGAAGATACGACTTCAGACAAGGAAGATTCGAGCGGAAGTAAGGAGCTGAAGCCAACTCCGAGCACGTCGCTGTCGAAGACGTCCGACCGGCAGGTCCGGTTCAGCCTCTCAACAAATCAGAGCAGCAGCAAGATGACCGACGCAACAAAGGTTAGCAAACTGTGGTTCATGTTCTATTGACATGATTTTTGTTGCGTCTGACCGAAACGTTTCACTTGCCCTGTTCTGTATCTGTCTCAAGCGCTGGGAAGACGACCCCAGGCCATCGAGGGTGCTCACAGGACCAATAGACAAGATCATCAAATGGGAGAAGATGAGAGAGACCTGTGGCCTGCTATTTGAAGTCGTCGGTGGGTAAATCGAATTTCTGTTTTATATCTACTTCTTGTTCTAGCCGCTGTACAACACAGTCACATACGGCGTGCGTCTTGAGGACGTAATGTGATGGTTCTTTTTAAGGCTGCACCTAAACGTCCGTGAGAATTTCTGGAAGGATTCGGAAAATTGTTATTAAGGTCAGAGGTCTGCAGAACGTAAAATCAGTTTCTGACGGCGTCAGGAGACGAACCAACGCGTGTCACTTTAATGAACGTACAAGTTTTGCAGCGAGTCACAGGTCAGGTCCTTGTTCCAGCGCCACTCGTGACGGTGAGGTCAGGAGGCTTCCGTTGCGAGAAGATGCTTTTGCTGAGAGACGAGGCCACCCCAGCCCTCCAGTGTCTCTTTTACACGATCGACCGACCTCTGCCCTCGTTGCAGAAGGGGCAATTAGTCAGGTGAGAGGATCCTTTCGAGAGCAATGCGGGAAATCGATTCGTCGTCGACTAGGCTGATTATACGTTTTAATTTTCGCAAATATTACTACGCTGCGCTGTTATGATGCAGATGTGTGGGCGAGATGGTGTCGAAGAACAAGTTGAAGGCGTACTCGGTGCGCGCTGCCACTGCTGGAGAGAAGGCAGGTCTGCAAAGACTCTTCTTCGCGTCCCAGCGCGCCGTGACTGCCCTGATGCTGGCCACTCCAGAGCCCTGAGGAGGAGTCTCTTCGCTTTTCGACTGTTCCTCGTTTCATTCCAGCTCTGTCCAGCTTTTCATTGCTAACAGTTCGATTTCTCTCCCTCGTTCCAGTACATTTTAAGATTCGTTGTAATAATATTGTTCGAATAATGTTTAGAGACGTTAATATAGCGTTTCGAATTGTAAATCGAAGTAGTGTTTTATGTCGACAATCGATTGCTTCTCTTTTTAATCGATTAAAGGAAAAGTTTAAATAACGTTGAGCACAATAAAGCAAATGTTTCTCATTCTTCTGATTATTTAATTCTAATTTTGTTACGTGCATCTGAACTTTACAAATGGAGGACAAAGTCTGAACAACGAACAGTTCCTTTGTTTCTTAGTTACCTTGTCAGTTCTACTACGGACAGAATTAAATTAAAATGGAACCCCGCTGTCCTGTTATAGTGGAAGTACGAGGATCTGACATCACGCAGCTTGAACCTGTCAGTAGCAACGAAACAGAATCCTACAAATGTCAAATGGGGAATCTGGATGACAAAAGGAAGGGGATTTTCAGGGAAAGTTTTATTCGGAAGCAACTGTTGGTAGCAGTTGGAGTGTAGAAAAGGTAAGACACCACTTGGAAAGAACTAGGCGTAGAAGGGGAGTTAATATTCACGTGACTTTGTGCACTGGGTTCATTTGACTCTGGAATCGGACGTACGGTTAACAGCATGAACTTTGGGGTTCCATAATAGGAAATTTTGACCAAAAACAGAGGATGCAGGAGAGGAATGCAAATTTGTACTCTCCACCAATTATCATTAGGATGGTCAAATGAAGCATCTGGACCATTATCATCGTCACAAAGATTACCTCCTCATCGTCGTAGGGCAGCGGACACGAATTGGTACAAAACAAGGAAGTCGACCGTGTTTATCGCGTCCATCTTCAGAGAAGAAGTGAAGTTTACCTTATTGCATTTCCATGGCTGATCTGTTCGACACGTGGGTCATGACAAAAATGATACCTCTCTTTATTGAAAGACATCGGGTCCAGAATTTCGAACTTTTGGAATCGAAAATGGGGGCATTGACGTACGTAAGCACCTCACGCATGCATTAAGATAAAACCTGGGTTCGTCCCGTTGAAAATGAGTTTTCGAACGGCATGTGATCATATATAGTCTGAGAGGAACATTCTATCTCCATCTTCAGGGCCGAAAATGGAAGCATTTACTTCCTCGGAAACTTTGGTGTCAGATATCAAATATGTCTGTGAGGACTTTGCTTCGATGAAATGAAGGGGCGAAATCGTCTGGCGGACACCTCTGAAAAGAATGTGATGGATTCAGCTGGCTCAGCATACGACGTAGTTCCGGTAGCGGGCTCTTGCAATGGGCCATCAGGTTCCATGAAGCGGGTAACGCGTCTTGGCCGGCTGAGCAACCATCAGGTTTCGAAGACCATCTGTGTTCCATGGTTTAGTAATGATTCCCGACTCCGAGCAGTTTCCTGACAGAAAGTCGGTGCTAAGACACGTATTTCAGGATTACGAACAAGGAATGGAGCGAACTCTTGTTTATTCATGACTTCCTCATTACGTAATTGCTATAGAAGTTCACGTTAAGACACGGCCTTCGCCCTGTTCCAGTGCCGGAACCAGATGACTCATCCCCTTTAAAACCACAATTTATTTCGGGCCAGCAAAGCAACTTTGAAAGTTGGTTATAAGATTTTTATATAATTATTCATATGGTGAAAGAAGAATATTTTAATATTAATTACGACTCGCTGTTCCCTGAAACTTAATTTGTGACCAGAGGTGGTCGGAAATTGGATTCAAGAGAAATTCGTTGTCAGTTTCACAGCGGCGGAGCTAACAATGGCTGTCTCCTCTTGGACACGGTCAGAAAACGTATTTAAAACACAGAATGTTTCAATACACCTTAATGGCGATTTAATATACAACTTGGGTGTTTCTGAGAAGCATCGCTTACGTCCTGAAAACGTCCAATCGACTCACCTGACAATGGCAGTTTGTCCTTCGCGTTTTCGAGAGTTTCAAACGGTTTATAAACTAGGAGTCTAGCATCGCCATGCGATAAGTTTCCCGCATAATTATATATATCTAAAGCTACGAAGGACGTTTCGGAGTCCGGATATTTCTTCTTCTGCGCAAATCGTTTGACAAAGACGTTTATACAAGGGAACACAAGAAAAAGTTTCATGTTTTGTTTCTGTGAGGTATGAAGAGCTTTTCTAGCAATGTGGGGAACTATGAAAACCCGAGTCGGATTTCGTTCGCAGTTTCTTCAGGTTTTAAAAGAAACTGCAGCTGAATTCCGGTCCTACAATGGAATAAATAACTCAAGTCGAATGGTAATAAAAACAAAACAGTAACAATGCGCTAACAGGTCTGCAGGTGCACCAACAATACATTGAAACTGAGGTCAGTGAGGAATTAAAAACAGCAACGTTGCTCTTTTGTTTAATGGAAGAATAATAAGAACATGGTCTGTGGTGAAACCTCGTTCTAACGCCCATCGACACAGGACGATTGATATGTCAGGCCCAAGAATTGAACCCAGGGCTTTGTGAACGTCAAATTGAGTTCTGCAATTTGTTTTTGTGCCGGAAGTCGTGACTCACACCAGCCACCGGCAGTTGTTTCTACACAAGCCGCGTTTTATTACCGCCACTGACAGCTTTGACAGTTGACAGACGCGTTCCGCTGACTTTGCGTCTCTGAGCTAAAAGATCATTCTAGAAGCGAGGAAGTCGGCGAAGGGACAGGACGTTCGCTTTGAATCTCGGTGGGTTCTTTTACAAGTATTATTGTGGTTTTCTCCGGCCACTCGGCGAGAGCTGCAGTCAGAATGAATATTTTAGGACACGCGGAAAGTCCTAGTGGCCCCACGGAGTGGAGTGGGGGCGGCAGATTCGGCTGGATGATCGTGCCCCACACGTGCGGACCCCCCACAGCTCAGAAATGCCAGGGCGTTTTCGGGTTCCCTGGGCTGAGAGAATAATTTTACTGACTTGTCCTGAGGGAGAGTTCATATGCTTATGCAGTCGTTAACTTTCGCTGGCTTTAAAATAATTTAAATTTTGTTTCCATTAATGATCGGAGTTTACATCGCAATATTCCTGTAATTTTTTTCGGCGAAACTTTATTATTATTTGTAGTTTCTTATCGATCGGTGCTTTATCGTACGATTACTTACATTTTCGTGTCGAAGAGATTCCGGGTTGACTATGTCGCTGGAGATGCCCGAAATTATTGGCCCAGATTTCGCGTTTCTCGTGCCAGAAGATTTTTGGACAAGTGTGATGGTGCGATTTATCTGGAAATATATTATTTGGATATTAAAATGAATTCAGCTGCGGAGTTCACTACGTAATGGACTGTGTCTTAATCTTATTTTAAGTAGAGTCGGCTATGGTTGGTTGATGCTGAGGGGTAGAACTGGGTGGAGGGAGGGGGTGGATGGAGAAAGTAGTCTTCAGCTTTTGTTTCCTATTCACTAACTCATGAACATATTTAAGCGAAAATCACTCCGCTGTCAGGAATACGCACTTATTAATTAGACGTCACAAAACTTTTGCAAACAACACGTATGTACCAACTTATCGGTATTTTTGGAAAAAAGAACAATTTATGTCATATAATTATCAATTTTGTAATTCCTTAAATTAACACCCATTAAGAGATTTTCAAAATTAGGCAGAATTTCGAATGCTCGAGAGACCATCCATCAAATCAGAATACATTTCTGTGTGGAGTACCCCAGGCTAAAAACACGCGAACGTCGCAAACTCTGATCGAAGTTTTAACTCCAATGCATCGGACTTTCTCAAATGTCATTAAAATCTGCTGTCAGCTGAATTTGATGTTACCAGATATTCGAAAGGGCAGTAATTCGTCTCGGCTTGATTTAAAACATTCGGCGTTTTTGACGATGAAAAATCAATCGAAAATTGCGTTAGGAGCCGGAATCGAACACAGATCGTCGTACTGAGATGTTGCAGAAGGCAGTCCTCATGGTTACCGACTCTGGATGAGGGAATTATGAAAATATTGGTCCATGAAGGTGCTTCAGGTTAGAGCAGAATTATGCAAGTTACAAGGACAAAGGACACTTTTCCACAACGTAACAACCGCTCGTTGAGTAAATTTTGCGCCGAATTCTCTGAGAAGAATTAACGAAAGTGATCAGAGGTCAACCAAGACAGACGAATATTTTGGTTGTGAAATGACGTCTTACGTCGTATGGACGTGTAATGAAGCCAGCACGAGTAAAAAAAGACCCACATAATTTCATGAAGAAGATTTAGCAAGAAAATTTATTTTTAAACGCAGTTTTCGTAGAAAGATGGTTTGGTCGAAAAGGACGAAGGGGAAGAGACTGCTTGGGAGAGGGTGGTGGACTGGTTCACGTAGCCATCGGGTCTCACCAGCTTCCGAGGAAGAAATGTGTTCCACGGATTTTCGATCGTCCCCAAAGTGTATTTTTCGTTGAATTACACAGTACAACACACATGACAGAGTAATACATGGAGGTGTGGAGAGAACACGCCACACGCCGATTCGTCCCGACAGAGCAACATCGGCCTCCGTCACGGAGGATCGGAATTGTCCTCCCGCCTTCACCGGCAGCTCACTGACAGCTTCGTCGGCCAACACAGAACACGCAAGCTGGCGGAATAAATAAATAAATAAAAGTCAGGAGAGGAGAGGTTAGCGTCGCAAACGTGAGGGCACAGTGGCCCAGAGTTGCATACACACGCACGTCCTGACGAAGGACTTTCATGAAGTAACAGAGTTCCTGAAATGAAGTGTTTAACCACTGAACTGGTTGAGGACTGAGAGGCTGAAGCTGCTCTCGACAACAAAACGCACTGCAGTGACGACGAAACGTCCGTCGACACGAATACAAGAAGAAGCAGACACAATGTTTATGGTTTACGAGCTCCCCTTTGCGTCAGCGCGTTTAAGAATCCCTACGGACAGCGCGATCTGCCTGCACTTGGCCAAGACCTCCTCCTGGACCAGCGTGAACGACATCGCGATGAGGACCAGGCCGAGGAGCAGGTAGGCGCAGCAGGCGACCAGCTGTAGCTGGCCGTTCTGCGTGTCGGCCCTCTGGAACGACTTGCCAGGCACCAGGTCGCCGAAGCCGATGGTCGACAGCGTGATGAAACAGAAGTAGGCTCCGTCCAGGAACGTCCACTCCTCCCAGGCGGCGAAGACCGTGGCGCCGACGCAGATGTAAGCCGTCAACACTAACAACACCAGCGACACCGGAACTCTGGCGGCGTCCGGCGCCGTGGAGGCGCTGTCGGGCTCAGACGGGGTGCGGGGACGCTTCTGCACCTGATGGTCGTCACGCGGGGGCCGCCAGATGAGAGGCACGCGAGACGGAGTGTCGTGGACAGCGACGCTGGAAGGAAATGGCGGAAAATGTGGCGAACTTCGAGCAGGACACGCGTCTCGATGCCTCGGACATCCATGCATTCCTTATACGTAACATTAGTACGAAATTCCATACCCTGCCCAGTAAGTATACTGCGACAACTAGGCGTACATGGAAGGATAATATTAAAATGGGTCTTACAGAAACTGGTTTCCAGTGGTGGGCTTTTGTGAGCTCTGTAATGTACCTTTGCAATGTATATAACGCGGTAAATGTTGATCAGCTCTGCAACTATCAGCATGTTAAGGACTCTACTATACGGTGTTAGCCAGTCACTTTCACTAGACGCTTAAGTACTCTGTAGTTGATACAGCTTCGTTAAATAATCTGAATACCTTTGTCGGAGGTGACAGAGGCTTCGATGTGAAGGGGAGAATATTATTAAAATGTGGTACGAGGGTGGGGTCGGGTGTGGTGGGCTTTTGTGACCACGGCAGTGAACATTCGGGTTCAGTAAAGGCGGGGAATGTTTTCACCAAGTAAGCAACTTCAAGCTTCTTGTGCTGGTGCCATTCATTAGCGGGCCGACCGATCTCAGAGCCCCTGGGAGTTGCTGCAGAGTTTCGCAGTGTCCTCTGTCTCCGTCGTCATCCTGGGCCATGGCGTTCAGCAAAAAGCTACGAGGGCTAAAATTTAATGTACGAACTTTACGATTATGACCTACGTCGGATTAAGAAGCGGGGACCAGCAGGAAAAAGCTGGCGCTGGCGCTGAAGACTAGAAATCAGAATCAGGAAGGTGATAACTGACAGAGTTGGACAACTCGCGTCACTAGAGCATCCGCACGTGAGAATTTAAAAAATTACACAAGACGAACTTGGTGATTTACGGAGGCGACGTGGAAGTGATGGGCTGGGAGCGTAGCTAGGATTCGTACAGAAAGTGCAATCGCCTTGTCCCACTGTCGCACCTTTGCTCCTGGTCCGCGTCTTCGAGATCGTCCACCTCGTCCACTTCCAAGGCCTCCGGGTCCTGCCGCCGAAGTTCTTGCAGAAGCTTGGCAGCTGCGGGGTCCGCCGCGGCGCCTCCTTCCTGAGCCAACGAGTACTCGGCGCACTCCGTCAGGATCTGACGAGCCTCGGGAGTCAGAGGCCGCGGGGGACGGGGCCGGCTCTGAACCCTGGACACGTGGACAACGGGGACCACCGGAGGGGCCTTCCTGGCGGTCACCGGGGAGGAATCCACGGGCAGGGGCTGAGCACACGAAGGGGGCCTGCTCATGCTGTGGTAACACTGGTTCTTGTGTTCTGGCTGGTTATTATTCTTCGAGCATGCGTAGCAGCACGCGTGCGAGTATGCGAATTGGAAGGTCCCTGCCAGCACCGTGCCCAGGTTGGAGAGACACAGGAGCATCAGGGGGACTCCGATGAGGGCGTACAGCATGGTGACTAGTTTGCCTTCTGGCGTCTTGGGGGCGAGGTTCCCGTAACCTGTGGGCACAAAGTAAGCGACCATTCGTCATGTGCAAGGCAGAAAGACGCCCGGAATTTTTTAAACTACTCTGGGACTGAGTTTTTCTCCAGATAAAACGTTGCATTCACCAGGGGCCCAAAATCTGAATAATATTCACACGTGCGCCGATGTCCCAAACCGTTTTACTGTACAGAATTTCGCTGTCCACTTTACGTCAGAGCCGAACACACAAATTAGACACAACCTGCAAGCAGCCAACTGATCAACCCCATTGAACAGAAGCTGACAGTCGCTCACATTTTCCCGTCTTTTATGGAACCCGACGGCTAAGTGTTGCTTTCCATAAAGCCAGTTGAATCCAATCTACATCCTGAAGCCCTAATGTCACCCATCTGCGTCTAGGTCTCCCAAGCCGTCTTTTTCTTTCAAGTTTTGCGACTACGTTAGTAAACTTCTAACGTTTCAGAGGTACTTGCTGCCTCCATCTTCAGTTCATCGCCCTGATGATGGAGGCAGCATGGGCCTCCGAAACGTCGGTAAACTTCTACCAGACTCAGAAGACTCACCGCCGTGCCAAATAACTTCTGAACCTGGCACCTATTGTCGGCGTCCATTACTGAGCCAATTCTTCATCCGTTCAGAAGTACCGGGGCACTGGGACTCCATTTATCGTCATTGTTACGTGTGTAATCGCCGGTTTTGTCTCGGAAGTGCGCGCGCAGACTGCAAAACCGAGGTTCTAATCCTGTAATCCCACAGCGCGAGGCGTTATTCACTTTTCAGTTGTACGAGAACAATGGCGCAGTTGCAGGAACAGCGAGCGATCTATCGATCGTCGCACTTTCAGATTTACTTAAAAATCTACACGAAAATATTCGTTTTCGCATCGCCTGCAGTTCTGGCACTGATGAAGGGTCTCGAAGCCACAGGCGAACCAACATGATGGGAGCAATCGCTAGCGGCGGGTTTTGTGATGAACATCAACCAGACTCAATAAACAGGGAATTTCTCATTGACCTGTATACACAATATCAAATCGAACTGCGCCGATTTAAGAATTCTTCTGAAGAACACGAGGGCAGGAGTGCCAACTAAGGCAACCGGAAATTTACCGCAACAGTTTTGGACCGACGACAGAAATGCCGGCGTCGAAAATGTTTCAAGACACACGGCGGAACAGTAAAACCGCAGGTGGCATGACCCATAGAGAGCCAATAGAAGCGCATTAAGCCCCGAGGATGGAGCCAGCATGTTCCTCCGAAACGTCTGTACCTACCTAGGCCCACAAATCCACACCAAGTTACAACCCGGAAGACCAACATCGAGAGGTTACGTATTTCGAGATCTTTTCGAGGTATTCGCAGATAAAATGGCCTGTGTTGGCCACTGGATGCCAAGGGCGGGCAGGTTTAACCTGAAAGTGGTTAAACGACGCTGATCGATTTACAATGTAAACGTCGCGACGCCTTCAATCACATCTCTCCGGGCGTCAGTTTCTCCGACCCAGAGTTCCGGCCTTCGCACTAAGCTGGGGGCTATTTTTAAAGACTCTGTATATTTTTCGAGCCGTAAATTGAAAATAAACATCTGAAGGCAGATAAATGAGTGGATTAGTACGCGCAGTTGAGGCCACAAATTCACTTCTCGTCATATTCTTGAGTAGATCTTCATAACAGATCACTTTCTTCGGTAATGTTGACTGTCATGGCAACCGACAGCTCCATTTTCAACTGCGCTGGTAACGTGAGACATCTGGTGGTCAAAAGTACGAGTCACAGTTTCATGCAAAAAAAACTAGCAGCCCGGAAATGTGGATGACTGTGTCCGTCCTTGGTCTCTTGGTAAGCTGCTTTGATGTTCCGAAGCGGATCGGTGCGCACTGACAATTTAATGCATACAACGATCACTAGGCGGAGCCACGATTATCAACATCAGCCGAGTAGTCAATTATATTAATAAAATCGTCCGATAAACGAGGAATTTATAATTTCGTAACATTTTAAGAAAACCCCGGACGAAGAACAGACTCTTTAGTTTTCGCTGTTACGGGGCCTTCCCTTTATGTAGTGCTAGATCTGCAGATTGGTTTACTGTCGGAATTAACTGTATCCCGTGCTCCAGCTAGCACACAAAGATACAAAGAAAGAAACAAACACAAAGCTTGTTAAGTTAAACTGAACGTGATCAGAAGTATGTAAGGTTCGTTACAAGAATTAATTAAGAACTTAAATTTTGTTGATTTAACCCTTTGAAGCCGAAGCTCGTCTAAATAATATTTAATCGATTAGCCCGTACCGCGAAGAAAACACGGCACTTCACCATTACAAAGATCAACTGGTTAACGCTGTTTAAGGAGATAACCGCTGTTTACATTGAGAATCGCACGAAACCCAGGTATCTAAATAATATTTAAGAATCCAGTCCGTACCGCGAAGAAAACACTACACTTCACCATTACGTAGATCAACTGGTTAACGCTGTTTATTCTGAGAATCGCACGAAACACGCAAATACATTCCGTGGGCAGTATGCAGCGTTAGTGAATGTTAAAGAAGGCGGTGCATAATGTTACCAGTAGTTTTTAAAGGGTTGACGTATCATTCACAAGCCTCAAAATAAATGAAAAAGTTAACAAATCTGGCACGCGTCACAGCGCACAGAAAATACTGTCGTAAGCTCTCTGCGTTCTGTATTTAACGTCTCACAATTCTGTTGACATAACACGTGCCAGGCTTTGCAGTATTATCGATCAGTGCTGTATTCCACTGCTCCGCTGAGCAATGTGCTCGAGTTTGAAGTATCTCATGCACCCAGCAAACTGAACACTAAAAACTCTTTCTAGTGCCCTGAAGATTTCATAGCAAAAACGCCCGACGCTGTAGGTCATAATATAACCCCGAGGGGGGGGGGGGGCACTGCTACGATACTAACTGCAAAGCTCCGACTTACGTTTGGTGGCTGTGAATTATTACCCAAATAAATGGAACCAACTTTCCGGTTATGACATCACATCGCAGGGCAGAAGTGCTCTGGCCAACTCTGATGATGGAGGCAGCAAGGACCTCTGACTCATCGCCTTGAAAACCTAAAATCTTTCACTGATAATTTAATTATATGTGGTCTGGAGGGACTGAGGAATACAACGAAAGCCCCAACACAGTGGCCTACCTCCAGAATACGAAACTTCTACAACGTAACGTCCAGTGGCGGATTTGAGAAACAGGAAAACACAGAAGTGCGAATGAAGTGCCGGAACAGGGCAGAGGGACAATCGGAGGATTCCCGGGTTGGCCTGGACACTTGCCAGTCTGACAGAAGCGTCCGGAGCGAAGGGGCGTCGAAAAGGAACGCTGTGCGAGGCGGGCGGTATTTGTGGATCGGAAGGATTTATTTGGATTCTCTGCAATCCAAATAAAAATCTGAGGTTCTGGGAGACGACACTGTAGTCCTGCAGATGGTTACGGACGAACACTCCGTCTCCATCTTCAGTGTAACGACCTACAAAACTGCGCACCGTCACAAGACCCACAGTCTGCATCAAAATACAATTCGCATCTCAACTGCATTACCAAGGACCGCATCTAGAATATGTGGAGCCTGATGCCCGCGACACCTATACGCCTTCAGGGAGTTGTGGAGTTTTCGTCACAAAGTGGAGCGCCTCTGAGCAGCGCGTGATGCCAACTTGCTCCTGTGTATGACGTGAAAGTTCCCGCGTAACGTAGCAGGTAAGGGTAAGGTACAGGGAAGGAAAAGCGTTTCCCCGCCCTGTAAAAGTCAGAAGAACTCCACATGTGACGCTGTTTCATTCCGCGGAACGAGAGCTGACAACTTTTATCCACGATTCATATTCGTTGTTTTCAGTTGTTTTTAGCAGAGAACAATTTAATCCTGAATGTAATTCCGTCCGACGAAGATTAACGCATCACATGAGGGCAAGGTCCTCGGCGAGCGGACAAAACTGGCAGCGGGTGGAGTCGAAAGTTCCGACAGCGACTACAAGTTACTTCAGTTTTAAAAATATCCACCACGTGTAATAATCGTTCTATTCAGTCCCATGTTTTGTCAGTACAAGTTCACTCACGGCTCTGTAAAAACACTGGTCCACTCTTCCGAGATGCAAATCAAAGACAAACTGAGAGAAGCAGAACAGATCCAGGGCGAATATAAACCATCTTCTGTATTTCTTTGGGGCCATAAAGACCTTTGAACTACGTTCCGGTACCAAGAAACTGCCGATAATGGGTGGTCCTGAAGCTCAGGATTGGGCTCTGTGTTTGACCTTGAGATCACCACCGACTTGGCACAGGCTCTCTCTCTCTCACTCACCGATCGTGGTGATGACGGTGACCGAGTACAGCAGCGCCCCGCTGAACGACCACTGGCGATCAGAGTCCGCCAGGTCTTTGCCGTCGTAACCCTCGACCTTGGTGGCCGCCACGACGTTCGTCTCGAATTTCCGCAGTTGCTCGTGTACGAGGTGAGTCCAATTCTTCTCGTACAGGACGTTGAGGCGCTCTGAAACACACGGCAGGTGGTCACTGAGAGACTCTATTTTAATATTATCTCCCTTCTAACCTTTGGTCTACCAAGTGGTCTCTTTCCTTCAGGATATCTCTTCTCCCCCCACATCTGAATTTTTGAAATTGTGAAGGTTTTTCAATCCGTTCGCGAAGTTCATCACAAATAGAGAGGTTCATTAGGTTACTCGGTTGGATTGTCTTCAGAAATTCCTCAGCAAATGTCAACGTGTGTTAATACCGAGGCTGTAACGTGCTTTTGAAACACTTCGTGGTCTGACGCGGAAGCCAGATCAGGTCTTGATCGAGGCTAATATTAAAGTTCATAACGCGGTGCATTTGTACTGTAAACAATCTGTGGATGGTTCAAGAATGTTGCCACCAATTTCAAAACATACAAAGACGGTATTATGAACCAGTGCTTTATAGCAACTTAATGACGTCATAAAACTCAAATAAATCAAGTCCCTGACATGAAAAGTAAGCTCCCACGGACTTTCAACGAAGGAAGTACATTAAGTCACATCCATACAGACATATTTAAAACTGAGTGAACATTTTGTGCAAAGCCAAGAGGAAAAACCCCATGTGACCGAATTCGAATGTTCATCAACGTCACAACAAAAATTCCTGACCGGGCTCGATCGTTACTACAGTCTGAGGGTCTTTTATCTGTCAAGCGCTTCTACACGCTCAGCCCATCACATAACAACACACGACAGGACTTCGTCATAACTGGAATCAGTTTAACGAACAATTTCTTTATCTGTTCGATCCTTCTAACCTGCATCTTGCTGCCAGTTCCGCCTTCATCCTCCGGGAAGACACCAGGCTGTAGGCGCAATCGTAAATTTGTCTCCGGTTCGAATCCAGTAAATGTTACATGTGTAAAAACACGAGCAATGACAATGAGAACCCTGATGATGGAGGCAGAAAACAAGTCCGAAACGCTGACAAATGCTTACAAGGGGCTACAACCCAGAAAACAGCCATCTTCGTACTCAACGCCGTGAGAAATTCAAATCCTGAGGAGAAAAATACTGACCGTGTGATATTATTTCCTATCGGTCGACGTCCAAACAGAGGAAAAATGAATTTGGATATGAGAGGACTGTGACAGTCCACGCGGCCTATTCTCTGGCTCTGACACAGAGCAGATGGGGTAACATTTCAGTAACAAGTCTGCGAGAGACATTTAGACAGAAATCCTTCCATTCTAGGCGGAGTTACAGGACATGGCGTACCACCACGCGGCGTTCGACGTCGAGCAGGAACTGAATTAGAAGCCACTCTTTAGAAGCTCGGAAGATTCATAACCGTGCCCACAAGAGCCCGCCACTGATCAAGATGAAGTCTGATGTTGCCTTTGTCTGCCTATACATTACGAATAATATCAAAGCGTTTCGAAGATGTATTCTGCTGCCGTCTTCAAGAAGAAAAGAGACAGAGACTATCTGTTGATGAATCCAGTTTAACCTCAGAGGTTGTACCTTTAAAGCACAGCTAAGTAATAATTTCCCAAGCGACCTCTTGCCTCTGAGTTTCGTAGTTCGCTCGCCTTTTGCTTTCGACTGTCTAATGACCTGCTTCAGAAGTTTTCTGACCGTCCCCTTGACGCAACGGCATCGTGGATAAGAAGGTCGAAGCGTGAAGCTGAATATCTGGTGCCGAGACTCGTGGCGATGCGTGTTCATGGCGCAGTGGTTAAGTTTCTGAGGTTTTCATCCGATGCAGGATTGCGTTAGCGTTCGACGTGCACTGTCAGGGCGCAGCCCCACGCACGGCTCGTCCACCCAGCATCAAACACGGGACGCCATATCGGTTATGGATTGAATTTCAAATCACCGTTAATGTTTTCAGATATAGGCAGAGAGAGAGAGAGAGCGAGAGAGGCAGGTATCCGTCCCATGCGACAAAGAGCAACTCACTCACGGCTCAGGCAGATTCTGCACATACACGAAACAAACGCTCCACATAAT